TAGTCTACAAAATAAAATTACACATTTAATGTTATTATTATTGTATGTATTATACAACATAAACATAAGCAAATATGTCCTATTGAGAAACAAGTTTGTTAGAAGTATCATTTATAAAAGAAAAGGAAACAAAGTGAAATTTGACTATTATTTACGACTTAATATTATTCAGAGAGATAGCTTTCCTCATATATACTCATTTCAGTAATATAAATAAGTACATGAACCTAAGATTGACTAGAAGTTTAAATGCGTGATAAATATTAAGGAAAGAAAAAATGACAACTATATATAGTAGAGTAAAAATTAGAAAAATATGATATTTGACCTGAAAGCGAATAATCAGTTCTATGTCAAGTTTATAAATATATATAGATAAGGAAGAATAGAAGTATTTCTCTGTATCAAATTGTGTATAGTGACATTCTATAGAGGAAAAATTCTTCTATTTCTTCATTCTACTTTAATTATGAAATCTTAGGATGAAGCAGTTCTAAGTGATAGATCATTTTTGAATTTGGACTCAGCGCATACAGTAAACTTCGGTAAAGCATGAAAATATTCACACGATATATTACTAGAGTTTTAATCTATAAAACAGTATTAACCAATAGATCAAATGATGGTATTTCGAATTGAAAGTTTATCTATTTGTAAATAGAATTTGCTGAAATTTTTATTTCAAAAGAATCGTTTCTTTACGAATATTGAAATCTTGAAAAATAAAACTAAAAATTTCAGCAAATTCTATTTACAAATAGGCAAACTTTCAATCCAAAATACGATCCTTCGATTAGTTAGTATATACCGACTTAAAAACTAAAGTTCTAATAAAATGACAATAACTCTGGAAAGAAGACAGAAGGACACTCATTCTTTTGACATTTTTCAGATTCTGTTCGGATCTACCATATGCATAGAATTCGAACTCAAAGACAATTCTCTCATTATTTGAATTGGATGAGTCGTCTTTACTACATAGATACAAATTTAAGTAAAAAAAAAGATACAAAACTATATCTTAATATATATTTTCCTGTGTAACTATACTTAAGTTTATTTTTTTTCTAGATGAAATATTTGATAGATCAATAGTTAAAGATTCGTATTATAGAAGACATGCAAAATATGATCGAGTGCATAAATTCGAGGAGACGATGTGAGTGTAAACATTACTTTTTAATTTTTGCTCTTTATGTTAGGAAGATTAGAATTATAGATTTGCGTCTATAAATCATTTTGTTCGAAGAAAAAAATTTAGAAGTAATTTATTATTTGTTTTCTAAACATGCACCTTATCAAATCGAAGACTCGTCGAATCAAAACTTGCCATTCTTATCTTGGTTTTATGTAGAAAAAAAAACTTCGACAAAACCAATCTTCATAAAAAATAATTACAACTTCAAAATACTGATTTTCTCCGTAGTTAAACTTCATTTATATCTTTCTGTTCTGTATTATATGAAAACTGCTAAGAGTATTGTACTCATTTTTCAAATTGCAAAAAAGTCATTTTTCTATAGCCTCCCGAAGGTAATCGTATGTCGTTAATAAGTTTTTTATAGTGATAGGTAAATAGACTTATATATATCAGAAAATGATTAATTTAAGTAATAATTACAATTTTGAATAAACGCAATACATGACAAGAAATAATAAATTTAAATATAATTGAAAGATAAAAAGAGCACATATTATAAAATTGAGAATGTATAACAAGAATACGAGAAAACATTATAAGAAATAAAAGTGAATGAAGTCTTTTGTTGTTAGGTAATATAAACATATCTTTTGAGATATAGAATTATAAAGTGATGATTAGAAATCATTTTCTCAAGTATTTGTTGCAGTATCTGTTTGGTATGAATTTTTTTCCAAAGTTCCAACATTGAATCATAAACAAATTGAGCAACAAATACAGTTTTACGAAGATTTACTAATTAAACATAAGAATACGAATAAGAAGATCTGAATTATATAGGTCAAGAAATGAATATTCCAATATAACTATGCTCATTAAAATTGTTCGTTCATTGTTCAATATGTTCTCTTAGAATATTTATTTCCAAAGAAATCTATTCTATTATTATCTATACAACGCTACTAGAAGTTTCAGTACGATTTAAGTTGTTTTTTTTTCCTATAGAACATTTGATATTTAATGTGTGTTATTAAAATAAATTGTCTATTAGAGTTTTTTTTATAGAATTAGTTAATTTACCATATATCATTTGCATATTCTTCACTTGTTTTGGATAAAAATAAATACAATTTATTTTATTATCATGATCATCGAACGAGTTCTTGAAAGCATTGTTCTTACTTTATCTTCACTCAGTTTTCTTACTTCTCTTATAACTCTTATATTAATTTTCATCTACGTTCGTCCATTGATAACCAATGTTCCAATTATTCTTACATGTAATACTTATATTACATTGATTGGATCTAGTTTTATGACATTTGTGGTAATGGCTTATGGTATGTATGATAATCTTCATCCATTTATTTCGTTTGATGATTATTATTGTGAAATACGTTCCTATGTTAATTATGTTTTTATTTGTGCTTTTTATTATTCATGTATGTTTCAAGCAACATTTCGTTTATGTCGAGTTGTTTTTCAAAAACGAAAAATTTTACAAACACGAATTGTTTTCACAATAGCAATAATTATACAATGGCTTATATCAATTTTTTATATACTTGTTTATCTTATTTTAAATGATTTTCAATATCATCCTGATATAAGTAGTTGTTGGCTTTCTTTTAAAAATATTCGTGGACTTTCAATAGCTTTGATATTTGTTTATGGTAAACCTCTAATTATAATGAGTTTAATATATGTTTGTATAGTTCGATTTATTCGTCAAACAGTTCATACTCAAGAAATACGACAAAATGCAAATAAACGAGATTTACTTGTTGTTAAACGTATTATTATTCTTGTTTTTATTGCTATGGCAATAGGTATACCAACACTATTAATTTTAATTATCTACATAATAACTAATTATTTAACTCCATTTGCTTATCATATTCAAGCATTAAGTTTAACAGTTGGTCTTGTTGCTGCATCAATTGCTATGGGATTCATAACACCACAAGTACGAGACATTTTTAAAGTAAATCGACAAATTCATCCTGTTATGGCTATTGAAATTGCTCTAGAACGAAAAGAAATAACTGGTAATCATACATGATCCTTCGACTTTATCAGTAATTTAATCTTTTAAAAATCGAAATGTATTGTTTATATATGTATATATAGAAACATATTTTTAAAATAAATAGAAAACTAAGTGATATATATATATAATAAAAAGTAGAATCACGAACATGACGAAGTCAAAAGATTTCTTGTAATGTGAAACTTTTTCACAATGACATATATTTTTATTATTTTCTATCTATTTGTATTCATCGTATTTTATTTTCTGGAACGTACATATATTTTCAAAGAACGTATACATGACTGGAAGTTTAAATTGAGATTTTTGCGCCGTGTTACGCTCACCTAGGTTCTAGCAATCAGGGTTAAAGGTCATCCTTCCTACAGTGTGCACTTTTCACATGGCAGGGGGACATATGACTTATATGCTCTGAAATGATTGGATATGACGTGAAAAAGCATTTTTAAGAGGAAAAAAAGGTTTTTCAACGAAAAATGCCTAAGGGAAACTCTTGTCTTCATTTTTCGAGAAAATTTTTTCCTTCGAAATTATTCTGTCTTACATATCATTCAACGGAATTTAATGTGCTGATTCCGAATATACTATTTTTTTCGAAACTCACTGTACGCAGTCCAGGAATGTTCGCACTAACAGGAATTAAAGATAGTAGATAGAAGAACGTTCTGGCAAAATCTGAAATAATCTGGAGATTGAATTGCTCATTTTACGAGACTAACTATTTGGACGACAGTATTGAAAAAAGTATTCTTTTTTTCATCAGAAGTTAAATACGTAAATTAAAAAATTTTTTTACCATCATATAGAACTCGGCTTGGAGATTCAGAAAATGTATTTGATTTGTTTTTCGAACAGTTTAATTTTGTCAGGTGTCAATTTTCAGGCTAAGTTTTCGGCAACTGATTTTTCAGTTTCTTTGATGGTTGTAGATACCATTTGTCCCCATTACGAACCTTAGTAATCTGAATAACGACATTAATAACAAGTCTCAGAAAGTTCTAGAACATTCCAGAATCTTCCTTGAAATTAGAATAGCTGGAATACGTTTTTTTTAATATTCTAAATAACGTGGTTTTTGATTTTTGTGCAGATATACGATTATATGATGTTTTGATTTCGCATAACTGTCATATGATTAATACAAAAATATGAATGGATTAAGTTTTAACTTTCGGGTATAAACAATTTCAGTTTTTCTGAATTCATCAAGATACGTAATAGATCGTTAAGATCTGCTGTAGATATAATGAATGTGTACAACAGGCTTATTTGTACATTGAATCAATAATTAGATTAATAATAACTATCGTCTTTTAGAGATTTTACACTTTGCGTATTTTATATTAATATAACGAAGTTAAATAAGACATGTGAGTAACACATTTCAGCCCTAAAGGGGTTGTTCTAACAAGCTTTTCTAAAATCAACACAATCAATCTGTTAATGTTCTCAATCCTATTAATTTATATAATATATTAAATATTATATACCTTTACTATAGAATAAACGAAATATTTTCACTTATAGCTGTTGTTTTTTCCCTATACAATAACATTAAATAAAATAAAAGATCATTCTACGTTAAATAATAGATATTTATTTTCATATAGATCGAGATTATTATTTTGAAGCATTAATACGGTAACGCCTACATGGATTATATACTGTTCTGAGTAAAATTTATTAGTTCTTATCATCATAAAACATGTGTTTTCTGTTCTCAAAAGAATAATAATATAGATTAAAACGATTTTTTTGTCTTCATGGACACAAATATTTTTTTTAAAATATTATTCGATTATCATCATCATGCGTTGTATAATCGTCGTCTACTTGATATTTGTTGGCGCCATTCAAGTAAATTTTTTACATTAATTTTCAAAAATTCTTTATTGATTTAAATACAGGTAAATGGTCAAGATCTTAGTGGTATAGCATCAACTGTTTTTAACGATCTTCTTAGTTCGGTTGTATCACAATGGGGTAATATGTCATCAACGGATTTAGCTTCATTCATCGATAAACTTACTCAACCAGGTTTACAAGAAAAAAAAAATCTTTGAAATTTTATTAATTCATTGTTCGTTGTAATATAGGGGGTTTAAATCATATATGGAATGCACTTGATTCTCATTGTAATTCACATTTTGATTGTGGTCCAGATGCATGTTGTCTTAAACCAACTCATCTTGGAAAACGTGGTTTTACGGATGGAAGTAATGTTTATTTAAATGTAAAAAAAGAAATTATTTTATTTTTGAATTTCTTTCTTTTAAGTCCATTTACATATGTCAAGCTATTGTTCACCTTTAAAAAAACTGAGCCAAACATGTTCACTTTATCATAGTGGTGAAACAACATCCACATTTAGTTGTCCATGTGCAAAAGGACTCCTATGTATTCCTGCTAGTACATTTCAAATTCATCCATTGATTAGTATTCATAAAGAGCCTATTTGCAAAGTTGCTTAAAATATAATAAACGATGATAAAATAAAATACAAGTGAACTACAATTGTTTGTTTCTCTTTTTTTTTTTTCTTTATTATCATTATTGATAAGACAAATTGAATTATTCGAATATGAATCTTGATTGATTTCTTATTATTGCATTGAAAACTATTTACTGAATAATTAATCGTCGTATGTTTGGTTAAAAAAAATAATCATGTGAGAATTTTTTGTAATAAGAAAAATTAATTTCGTGTAGTCTAGCACTTGAAAAATTTACTCAAACAAAATTTTATATAAATCGATTATTACACAGATTTATTAATATTAATAATTAAATTCGAGATTTTTCAATAGAACTCTTTACATTTTAGTCCATCTCAACATCATGTATAATACAATTTGATAGGTCAAATATTTTGCATGTCTTTTTGAACATATAAAATCATTTCTATTATATTGAAAAAAAAAAATTCTCATTTTAATTGTATAACAGTCTCGATTAATTATTTTCGATAGTACATAATTGATTTCAATTTCTAAATATATTCTAACATAAAAGGAACAAAGAAAAACAATGTTGATAATAGAAAAATGTTATTTCTTTTATTTCGGCAAAATGCTTTGAAAATTGTTATAAATATTTTCTTTTTATTAGATAATATGATCTTTATCAACTATGTCATATTCTTTAATTGAATTGTATATTATCAATAGGTGGTCGACGAAATTTTAGTTGGTAAAAAAAAAGAAAAGAATTAATTTGACTAATAGGAGGAAAAAAAATATGTCCAATTTTTTAATTTCCTTCTTTTTATCAGTGAAAGCAATGAAGCGAAACAAGATGTGACATTAATGGTACATCATGGCACTGTTCTTCTTCTTTTTTGCTTGTCACTTTCTGTAGTTAAATTTTCGTCTCTTTTTTTTTCTCTTTTCTTCTATTCTTCTTCTTCTGCCGCTAGTAATCGTAAAATGGCAGTTGTGCTCTTCCGAAAACGACCTCCACGTGAGAGAAAATGTGGTGGCAGAGAGAACACAGAACAGCAGTAGTCACAGTCCATTCTATCATATATCATCATCTTGATTCTTACACAACATAACGAAAGAAACGAAATCGAAATTGTATCGTCATATATATTTATTTATATATATATTTTTTTTTCTTCTTTTTTTGTCTTTTTCGTTTCCAATTATTATTATTATTATTATTATTTTCAAGTATGTTTTATTAAATGAATTTTTCTTATATTCGAATTCTAGTATATATTTTTTTGCATAGTGTATATATATATATATATCTTTTTCATTTTTTTTTCTCTTCATTGTTTTTAAAAATGAAGTGTGTGTGAGATACTGTGGTGCTGCTCTCTCTTCAGTCATTAAAAGATAAGATGGTTTATCAGTCTATAACACTGCTGACTACCTTCTTGTGTCAACAAAAGAAAAATTCCATATAAAATTCATTTATTTTAAAATAAATCAAACTTATATTACTGATACTTACACAAAGAGATATTTTTAAATGTCAAATTGATTTTGAATTGAAATGATTTACATGAACTATGAATACCCTAGAAAAGAATTCAAACTAATAGCTTATTACTGTTGAGATACTGTATTTTTTAAAATTATAAATATCGTAACCGAGAAAAAACTAATGTGTGAATTGAAAATTCGCATAGATCTTAATGACAATAGATTATTGTGAAAAATTTCAAATCTCCTGATTGTTTCTATTCTAAGATATACCTATGACAAAAAAGTATGTTTTTTCATGTCAATCATATATAACAACAAATTTTGATATTCTTATTTTAGAATAGGTACAATCAAAAAAAATTTGAAACTTTCACAATAAACTATTCTTATTAAGACTTGTATCTAGGTAAAATTGCAAATTGAAATTCAAAACTCAATTTTTGCTAAGAAGGACTACGACATTCTATTAAAAATAGAATATTTCAACAGTAAAATAAGCTATCAACTCGAACAATTTTCATTAGAATTTACATGATCCACATAGTCTTGAATCAAAATCAATTTGACACTTAGAAACATTTTCTCGTTCGTATGAGAATAAAATATTGTTGTCATTGAAAGAGTAAAAAGAAAACGGAAGAAAATAATGATGATATATAGAAAAGAGGTAATCTCCTTTTTTTTTTTGTTTACTTCATAGATTTTCGTTCACAGACTAAATCTGAAAGTAAACATGCGGAACGTTGTTTTCTGGAATTCATGTCTCTCTTTCTCTCTCTCTCTTCTTCAATATACACAATGTTCATGTTAAAGAAGAATAAGAAGGAATAATCCCTTTCTCCCGTCTTCTTCCTCTTTTTTTTTACTCTGTGTAATAATAGGCTTCTTCCATAATCTCTGACCTTTTTTCGCAGTCCGTTCTTGTTCTTATTCGTTCCCGATCTTTTTTTTTCTCCTTTTATGTATGTGTGTGTCATCTTTTTTTTTTCTCTCTTTTGTATTCGTCCGCGCTTCCCAAGAACGTGTCTGCTATGAAAAATGTCAAGCTTTAGAAGACAATCGTACAGTGTATCATCGATAGTGAAGATATGATCATCTGATGATGATTCTCCGTCTTCTTGTTCTTCATTTCGTTCGTGTTCCTTTCTTTTTTTTTTCTTCTTCGTTTTCTTCTTCTTCTACTCCCAATTGTTGACACAATACAACGACAAAATTCCGAGTCAGAGAGAAACGTACACATACACACACACATACATTTACTCTGAACATTGGCTTTGCTTCCTCCTACTATTACCAACCTCCTTCTTTAAGTATAACATCTCATTGTCAATCCTTTGAATGTGCAACAATGTTTCCTACAACGAAAAGTATACGTCAGGGATCTTTTTTTTTTTTTCTTTTACATTTATTTACTGTTGTTATTCGCAATCGTAAAGAATCAAATCGCGTGCGTACGTATTTATGATGTGTGGCGGATGTATCTCTTGAAAATGAATGACTATTTTATACATATATATTTTACCGTAGGGTATATTCATAGTTGTCATCACACCTATCTGTCTTTTATATAAACATTCTATTGGAGAGAAAGAATCGAAGGTGCTTATTTTCAATTCCACACGCACCAATCCCACTGTATTATGTACACACGCATATTTATCGCCGTTTTTTTTTGCTCTCTTTCTCTTATTGCCGCCGATCTGCCTAAAGCATTGGTCGTTTTGCCGCTATATATGGAAAAGACAAGGAGAAAGAGATAGAGAAAGTATGTAAAGAAGAATAATAATGGATGGGTGTCATCATGATTTGCGACGAATCGACTGATGGGTAATGTTTTTGCAGTCAGACAGGTAAATAAAGAGAAAGAAAAGAGACAGTGACGAGCAAAGAGAAGAAGAAGAAGAAAAAAAGAAGAGTCAGCAGCATAACAATAATATAATGTTAGTGGCAGTTATTTAGAATGCGATCATCCGTGACGGTTGAATATGATAGTGATTGGTAGAACTTTGTCTTAGTACCTCCCATTCTCTTAACATAACCATTGCCGTTGACTATCTGTCTGTATCGTCTCTGAGCACATCGAAGTATAAAGAAAAAAAAGATGAGATATTACAGTGTAGTCATTGAAAAAGTGACAGAACGAACAAACGAAATAAATGTCCAGTACATCATCGGTTCGCTTCTTATTCTCATAATTATCTATCGGTGAATGCACATATACACAAAGAACAGCAGCGCAGATTTCTCTTTCTCATCAAAATGGATTTTTTTTGTCGTTCTTCTGATTTACATTCGATAGATTGAAAGGAAGATAGGGAAAGAAAGAAAGAGACGACAGACAGAGATTGATGCTTTCTCTTTTTCTGTCATTTGTTGTTTATTATCCTTCTTATTCATAAGATAGCACGACAAAACAATAATGCTTGCTACTGATGATGTTACAGAAGTAGTCAATAATGCTTTCTTTAACAGGTAAGGTAATACACGTTTGTAATTTTTTTTTTCTTCTTCGAGCTTTTTTTCTTGAATACGATAGTATGAAGAAAATGCGAAGGAGAATGATCCTGTTTTTTTTTTCCTTGCCTTAATGATTTGATCATTCATGATACAAAAGAAGAACAATAAATAGATAGAGAGAAAGAGAGAGAGAGAATGTGAGCATGTCAACGTCAGCTGCCGCCAGCAGAAACCAGAAAGGATAAAAATCAAAGTCAATGATCCGTATCGGAGCAGGGTAGAGAAAGAGTTGGATTGTCGTCATACGTAAATACGACTGCTACTTTTTTCGTTTCGTTTTATTTTTTTTTCTCTTTGCTTCGTCTCATAATCGATTGGTTTGATCTGTAACAAAAATAGAATAAATTTATTGTGATGGCACTACTTCTTTTTTTTTGATTGGTTAAGAATTAGAAAAAAAAAAAAGAAAAAAACAGTAGCATCTTATTTTTTGGTTCCACCCATATTCGAACGTGCTTTAAACGATTATATTTGATTTCCGGGTGAAAATTTTTTTTTTTCTTATTTATGTACACAAATTTTGTCGTGTGTACGTGATCTTTTTTTCTTTTCTATTAACATTCATTTATATTTCTTTTTCTAGACAAAGACATCAATATCATCATTGTAATAATAATAATATTAATCAAACTATGCAGAGTTTTCCTACAAATTCGGATGATGCCAGGTAAAAAAACAAGGTCTTCTTTTTGTTTTGTTTTTTTCGTATTCGATTCAACGATATTTACATGTCATGTCTAGAGGGATTAGTTCCATTCTATGTATACATAAGTCTCGGCATCATTCTTTATCAGTAGTGTAGTACCAGTACTAGGCGCTAATCCCTGTTCATTTCATTTTGTGTATACATGAGAAAGATCTGGTGTCATTTGAAATTGAACTAACATAAAGTAATTAATCGTATGTTGAAGACTAATGGAAAATGCGTTTTTTTTCATCGTCGTCGTCTCTCTGTTAAATTATCGATGCGTGTCCAACTGTATATATTTAAAGAAAAATGCCTTTCGGCGGAGTATTTTATT